ATTTCAGATTTGTTCCAAATTAGTGGCTCAGTAAGTAGCAAGCAAAGATCAGGATAACAGTCCCAGACATTTACTTTTTAAAACTCATTAAAAAAAGGCAGTCATGGTTGCTTTTTCAAATTTCTTCCATCACAAATTTACTATACAAAAATTAAAAGGTAACCTGTACCTATCGCTCCTGACCTCCTTCAGAAAATGCTAATCAGCTACAATTCAAGATAAAACCATAAGGATGGAGTTATACATCTCATTTTACATAATTCGTAATGCTTTATTTGATATGTTGTTCTTTAGAGAAACCTATCATGCGAGAAGCATAGAAGCTGCCACTGCTTTTCTCTCCTATAAATCCTAGTCACCTGTCTGTCAAGCCACTGACCTTAAAGAAGAATTTAGACAAAGACTTTCATAATCTGCATACATTTCCTATGTCAGTGTTAATGCATTAAAGCCATATGGAAAGGATAATAACTAATTGGCATTTTTAACCACAAGCTCCAGAAGATTTTACCCCCTTCATGACCAGGCTATTGTTATAGGTTATAGTTTGCCACTGTGCTACTTTAACTGGAGACTGCGTGGTCATGCAATGTTGTATGCAAATTAAATTTATATTTTTTTCACACAAATAAACTTTTGGTGATATTTGAACGCCACTGGGTTTTTTTTTTTTCGTTTTTTGTGATATAAATGAAAAAAGACCCCAAAAAAAAAAACACAGTAGTGCCTACTTTCTGCTATAGAACATATCCAATAATTTTCTTTTTTAATCAAATTTCTTCATAAATTTTGGCTAAAATGTATTCTGCTATATGTCTTTGGTATAAAAAAAAATCCCAATAAGTGTATATTAATTGGTTTGCGTGAAAGTTATAGCGTCTACCAACTATGGACTGTCTGACACTAATCAACGCTGCGGGGTGGGGGTTTGGGGGCTAACTGCCACTGACATCTCCAGTGACACTAATACAGTGACCAGTGCTAATAACATACACTGTCACTGTACTAATGACACTGGCTGGGAAGGGCAATCAAGGGGTTCATTTTTGCCAAAAAATGTTTACTGTGTAGTGTTTTACTAAACAATGTGCCGGTTTTTACTCCCTGCTTGGCAGGGACAATAAAAATGGTACATCACTGCTGTATGAAGAGAGCTCTGTGCTGTTTACCACAGAAGTACATGATTGGGCCTCTATGAGCTGACCTGTTTCAGTAAATATACTGCAGCAGGTCGGCAAGCGGTTAAAAAGGTGGTCATCAATGGCACCGCCACATGCCTTGTGTTATCAATTGGCTCTAACAGTAAAAGGATTTCCAGTCCAGATGAAATTTTAGCATTCTAACACTTTAAATAATCAGCTTTAGCTCTTAAATATGCAAAAACATTTTGTTGTAACCAAGGATTTTTATTCCACAATATAAACTGCAAAATTTGATACAAGCTACAAGAAAAGCCAAAACAAACAAAGAAATAATAATAATTAACAGGATTTTAAGGAAACTTTCAGAGCTCAGTTTGCTATGTCTAACACGCTGGCTGCCCTAAGCACCTACTAATCCAACATTCTGTACAAAGGCCCACTTCATTGCAGTGGCCACTTAAATCAGAGCAACTGGTTCAGTATCTCAATTCAGATATTGGAATTAATGACAGGGAGAAAAAAATAAAGTTATTGCTCAGGAAACATGTCCTACATTAAAGACAAAAACAGAAACTAGGTGCTGTTTAATGAAACTGAAACCTCAAAATCTTGGTACCTTACCACAAGTTAACATTTCATTCACACTCCTTCTAATGTACTGCACTGACCATGGATCCATACAGTGAGGTATGAAAGGGATGAAAGCTCATCTTTAAACAGCAAAACAATCTAGAACAATTCATTTTGCTGGAGAACCAGCACATCTGTAACGTGTAACAGTTGAAAAGTTAAGTAAAATATACAAAACAATTTGTATTTTTATTAAATCCCAATTGTCTTGAAGGAGTGAGAAATTGTTTTTCAGGGTCTGAAAAGCACCATCAGGGGCCGGATTTGAAAAGAAAACCGGGCGTATGTCTAGAGGAAAAAAATCCTGAAGTCCTGGGAGCAGTACAGTCAAATCTGAGTGGAGAACTTCATTTGTGTGCAGCGGCAATTGCGTCAATGCAGTGGGCACACACATAATCCTCCTTCTCAGCAGCTTCAGCAGAAAGACCAACACAGACTTGATGAAACCAGCGGTTACAGCTTCCATCACATTGCACCCAATCAACCTGCAAAAAATAAAAAATATTGCCACCTTGTCAGATAATAAAAAAAAAAAAGGCATTTTTTGCAATAACGTCATCAAAAATCTTACAGCAAATGGCTTGGTGCATGATAATCAAAAAAAAAAAAAAAAACACAAACACAGAGAAGGGGGGGGGGGGGGGGGGGTTGCTACAGAAAAAATAAACACTGGCACAATGGATAACACCACACAACCAGAATGCTTCTGTTTTATAGCAAAGTAGTACAGACAGCATGATCATAAAACAGAGACTCTTTAATGAACTCCACAAAAAAAAAAAAAAAAAAATTTTTTTTTACAGTGAATAGTTAATTTTCATATCTCATTGAGTGACACAGGAAGTCTAAGGCTTGTTCAAATCAGGTGCAGTGTGAGAATACGTGCAAAATTGTGTGTTTTCCCACACAAAATCGTGCTGCCCTTTACAGATGCATGCCCCTGCCAAAACGCATAGTACTTCAGAACCATGTATTTTGGTGCAGCGCAATTCTAAAAATCTATTTTTTTTTTGCATTTTTCTCTTGCATATGGTAGCCCACTGAAAAGTATGTGTGCTTGGAAGCACCTCTTGGTGTGAACAAGGCCTTAACCTCAGTCCCATAATCAGACTGTCCAAAAGCAGTCCAATTGAAGGTTGGGTAGCACAGCAAATGAAAATTACCAGGCCCAAGACAAAAAAGAAAACTGGGGTGCCGCCGGAAGGACCTTACACTCAGAGCTGGTATCAGATTAAGCCTTGACATAGGTCTGGTAGAACGCTGTAAATGGGTGACCAGAGAGCTGCGTAGCAGTCTACTGAGAAACAGCTGTTTGATACCAAAAGAAAGTCCAAACAGCCAGTAGAGAGCCCCTAGGAAATGGTGGAACCTGGTCCTTGAGACTAGAAGCTTGGATAATGGCTTGAGTGAGCAACCTAAGGAATGGGAGGCTGGTGCAGCTTTACAGGGACCATCCAGGTAGACTCTCACAGCCTAAACCAAATGCAGACAAAGGGAAATTTTATTTTGGTGAACTAGAGCTGGACTGAGGAATGAAAAATCAATTGCCTTGCTGAGGTGAAAGGTCAAATTTACCGTCGGTAGGAAGGAAGCCTCTATATTACTTTGTTCCGATTTGCAAAACTAGAAAGAAAAAAAAAGGGTTCCTGCAGAATAAAACTCATCTCATAGAGGTAAAGGCTACAAAGAAAGTCATCTAGAGGGTGAGAGTAGCGAGAGGAATGTCTCTAACCAGTTCAAATAGTGGTTCTTGAAGAGCAGAGGACCCGCGTCTTTTTTAAAGTTATGTAAATATTAGAGAACGAGATTCAGAATCCATAGAGTCATAGGAGAATGAAAGAGAGCTACATGGAAATCTCTCTATACAAAAGGTCACAAAACAAGGAGTAAAAGGCCAACTGTATCAAAAGGAATAGGAAAAGCAGAAACCTGGCCCTTAATTGTACCAAAATCCAAAAGCAGGTCAAGGTTTAGCTACAGGAAGGAAAGGATCTATCCTATGGAGAAACTCCTAAGGTGGAAGCCCCATGACCCCATCACCCCAAAATAAGTATATCTTCCTAGCAATTGGCTCTGAATCACAGATTCAGATAAGCTCCTTTTTAAAAACCTGGACATCAATAGCCAAGCCATAAAATCCAGCAACAAGGAAGCAGGATGGTAAATGCAAATTCTAACAATCTGGAAGATCCCATGGAGCGACCTCTAGGAGTCTTCATCTGTTCAGATATCTAGTCCTTCATATATTTTTTGAAGTACAATTTCTACATCTGTTGAATGTCTCAGGGCTATTGGCCACATCTGCCTGGACAAGTCCAGAAAAAAGAAATCAGCTGAATGGTCTCCATCTTGAACCTGCAAAGCCTCAGTACTTAAAACAGAGGAAAGTTCAACGTAGCATAAGCCTCCTGGAGCTCACAGCAGTGAGTGTTAGAGACAGATGAACTGTCTCAGCTTTTGACTGATAACTCCATCCATGTCCACTGATGCCAGCAGATCCCCCTGCTGCAGGATGCAATGATTAACCTGGCTGACTCCATACGAAACCCCTGGATTTTAAAGATATTCAGGCACTTCAGGTTCAAGAAAGGATGAATGCCACAGTTGGCTTTCGGAAATATGAACAAGTTGAAGTAAAAACCATGAAACCTCTCCCATGCAGGCATAGGAACAATTACCCATGAGGTGAGCAATTGCTGAAAAGCAGCAAGCAGATCATCCAGCGTCAGCAAAGAAGTAGGCAGACTAGAAGGCATGGATCAAGGAGGAGGGAGAGAGCAATACTCCAGCCTGTATTCCCTAGAAACGACATCCCTGACCCAGAAATCTGGAATGTCTCAAATTCAGGCATCCAAGAAAGTTAACAAATTCCCGCACTTAAGGATCTATGGGCATTAAACCCAGGTAATGAACCATATGTTTGTCCCAGGCTACGATGGTCTCTCAGATCTCAACGTCAGGCTGCGCTGCAGATCCCAGTAGAGTAAAAGAAGACTTAAACAGAGTTTCAGGTTTTTTTTTCGACCACTGCATCCTTAACCGCCTCCCGCCCGCCATATAAGGTAATGACGGGCACAAGGTGATTCTCTTGTTCTGAAAGGACATCATATGACGTCCTCCCACTCTAGCCGCGTGTGTGCACCCACGGGGGTATGCAGCGCAGCGATCGGTGGTGCGCTGTGTCCCTGAGACACAGTGGCTCACCGATCAATGGAAAGAGCCGAAAAACCGTCAGCTCTGTCATGTGATCAACTGTGTCCAATCACAGCTGATTGCATGTAAATAAGGATATGCCGGTTATCGGCATTTCTCTCCTCACAAGCTGTCACGCTGAGAGCCGTAATCTGCATTACTCAGAGGGGACATGTACACTGATCATCAGTGTAGCCCCATCAGTGCCAACTGTCAGTGTTCATTAATGCCAACTATCAGTGCCCATCAATGCCACATATCAGTGCCTATCTGAGCTGCCAATCAGCGCCACCTAACAATGCCCGTCAGTGCCGCCTAACAGTGCAGTCTATCAGTGCCCATCACTGCAGCCTCATTAGCGAACATCAGTGAAGGAGAAAAAATCACTTATTTACAAAACTGTATAACAAACTAAGAAAAAAGTTTTTTTTTCCACAATTTTCAGTTGTTTTCGGTTTGTTTAAAAATAAAAACCCAGAGGTGATTAAATAGCACCAAAAGAAAACTCTGTCTCAAAAAAAATATAAAAATTTCATATGGATACGGTGTTGCATGACAGTGCAATTGTCATTCAAAGTGCGACAGCACTGAAAGCTGAAAATTGGCCTGGGCAGGATGGAGGTATAAGTGCCCGGTAGGCAAGTGGTTAAAGATCAGGACATCATCAACAGGAACTGTAAGGCAGACAGGAAAGCAAAAGCAGAATTCAAAGAAGGAGCTGGCCTATTTTTAAAAAAAAAACTCCTCTTCCATTGGATGTTGCTGAGAAAAGCATTTTGGAGGTAGAAAAACCTTTTCAGGTTATCAGTCACTGTAAAAAATTTTCTCCATCACAGAGCGCATAAAGAAAGGTCTTAAGCCATCTTGGAGTCCATACTGATAACTTTTGGTTAGACAGAATCCGAAGGCTGTTTTCAACAGCAGTGCACCTCATCAACCAACACTGCATTTGATGGAAGTGGCCTCTTTCTGCAGAGATTCTTCTAAATCTGAGGAAAGCACTCCCTCTTCCCCTTTTTCAGGAAATAAATCTTCCTTCTACTCTCTGGAGCCAAAACTAAGTCCCAGAGACAGTGAGGGTTTCTAGCATGGCAGTGATTTTGCCCATAAAACCCGCCATAGAGGCAGAGAATTCCTCCATGACCCAAGAACACTATGATAAAACTGAGGATAATTGTATTGGGGTTCTCATAGTTGTTTGTCAGTGTCCGGTCACCTGAAGATAGCAACATATAACCCAGTGGTCTAAGAATATCCTAACTAACTGTATTGAATCGATAAACCGCATGGGTGGTAGGCTGCTTAGATTCTAGTGATAACTTACGATTTTTGCAATGTTTTCTTTATTTTTTAAAGGCCATTTAAACACATGTAGAAAATTGTATTATATTGCTGTTTACAATTCTTTAGATATAGTGACTGCATTAGTTTTAATTTTTTAGGCTAACAATATTTTCAGCAGGAACAGAAAATACCTGTTGATCTTACCAGAAACAGAGTTATTGTCACTTCAAGTGAGCTGCAGTAAAAGCACATTCCTACCCTGCTTCTGTAAACTACTAATCTGTAATGAAGAAGTGAGTGAGCATAGCTGCCCTGGGACAGAAGTATGTTATTTGCAGGATTTCCAAGTGAAAATAAAGGGGGGGGGGGGGGGGAAACTTACCTCATCTCCTTCAGGTTCCATGCAATGATCTGCTGGACAAATTGCATTTTCATCCTCTGATTCAGATGTGAAAGAACTATTTGAGTCACTGTCTCTATCAAGACGTTGCTCTCTACTGCATAAGCCTTTGGACTGTAGAGTTTTCACCCTCTTTTTCCGAGGAGCTGGTGTCTTCCGCATCCTCCTCTCTATACCCTCATGACGCCTCTTTAACTTCTTCTCTGTGCTGTCTGATCTCTCCTTCTTGGTTATGCAGTACACAGCCTTAGAAAAAGACAAACAATCTTTACTGTAGTCAAACCAACTCTCTATGTAACATTTGCTCTCTAAAATTTCTTTGTTCAGGGCACAGCATTGACCTGTATGTAGCAACATATAATGGTGAGGGACAATACAAACTGTACTGGATCCCAATAACTGGCTCACACAATGCCCCCAAAATTACAGCTACTGACAGCAGAGTTGCTATTCTCATAAAATCTTGTGCCCCTAAATGGGCCAGCAGTTATCTGATCTGAAGCCCAGTTCCATTTCCTTCAGTGCAGAGGGATAAATGCAGGTAAGTAGCTTAACATTCATCATCTACAAATTGCTCAAATTTTTTTCCAGTATTTCATTGGCGAAGCAATAAAGGAACCAGGTACATTTTAATGTGAGAAAACCTATAGATGCAAAACAAATAGTCAAAATCAATTTCTTGTTACCTCAGAACGTGCCGCGTTCCATTCTGTTCCCTGCTGTTTATTGGGTCCTCGATCTCTTCCTGAAAGAGTTAAGTTGCTCTCTGGGTTTGTTGTGCTTGGTTGGGTCATAAGCGCCTGATACAATTCTTGTACTTCGGGAAGTGAGACTTGTAAAAGCTGAGCTTCCATCAGCAACTCATCTAGCTCAGCACTCAGACCTAACAGAAGGAAAGAGTATTTTTAATATTAACTTACTATTCTTTCACATTATTGGCAGGATTCTTGTAACCTCTGGCTTGAAAGCCATATGTTTTAACAGACAGTATCCGAAGATTTAAGATCGGACCTAGAACAGGAAATGTATGTGTTATATTAAGCATATTAACAAATCTTGTGGTTATCCAGTATCTTATTCTTCAGTTGTCACTAACATCTCATATGGTGTAACCACAGTGCCAATTTTCACATAGGGATAGTAATCTCTGCATCACTTAAAGCATTACTAAACCCAGGACCCTGCATTCACTAGATCAGGTCTACCACAGTACACACAACATGGAAATGCAAGGAGCTTACAAGCCAAGGTCCCCAACTCACGTTCATACATACAAATACCAGGTCCAATTTAGACAGGACCCAATAAGCCTACCAGCATGTCTTTGGAGTGTGGGAGGAAACCAGAGTACCCAGAGGAAGGCAACACAGGCACAGGGAGAACATGCAAACTCCAGACAAGTAGTGCCATGGTTAGAATTCAAACCACTAACCCTAGTGCTGCTAGTCGGAAGTGCTAACCACTTAGCCACTGTGCTGCACTATCCAAAGTCTAGAATTTATACAGCTGAGCATTCAGAAAAAAAGGGGGCAGAGAGCTAAAGCTACACTCTGCAGAGCTCAGTGAGGAGAGCTCTAAGAGCTGATTGGAGGGGAGGGACCACACCCTCCTTTCACACAGCAGACAGGAGTTGAGGCAGTTAATCTGCTGGAGGTTGCTCCTCTGTCATCATTTTTCTCTTGGTGTCAGGAAAACTTGCCAGAAGTGACTCATGGTGATATCAGAGGAACAAGGCAGCAGACACAAATTACACTTAGTGCTCTTAACTGAGAAAAGTACACACTATAGGAAGGTATGGTTTGTTCATATTTCATGTCTAAGGTTTATAATCACTTTAAAGAAACTGCAACATACAAAAGAGTAAGGGCCACCAATGCAGTTCCCCTCCATCACCCTACTCTATTTTTTCACTTTTATTGACCACATAAACCGAGTCTCCTGGAGATTACTATGTTCCCTGAATAGCATTTGGAAATACTTAAAATGTCATCCTTGTCCTCATGCTACTATGTATGTCTGTTACAAGTATACTGTACAATAAAAATGTTGAACAAGATTCTCTCATCTATGTCATCAATAGGAACCCATAGTACTTATTGCTTTCCCTGTGAGCCAGGAGTGCCGGTGGGGGACCCGAGAAGGGGAGAATTGGGGCTGCTCTGAGCAAAAATCACTGCATAGAGCAGGTAAGTATGACATGTTTGTTGTTTAAAAAAAAAAAAAAAAAAAAATCCAAACCTTTAATACCACTTTAAGGTTAGGTTCACATATGTGTGGGTGGTGTCACTGTGGATCCGCACACAAATCTGTGCAGCCGACCACCCGCACAGAGGAATGTAGACCCGCGGGTGGGTGCCATTAGCCCGCACTGGAAAACGCAACCATACTAGGAACTGAGGTTCCCGTGTGGGGCTGCGTTTTCCAAAGAAGTGCAGGGACTTTTTCCCTGTGTGTCACGGGGCACAGAAGTCCATTCAAATGAATGAGCTCTCGTGCCTGAGCAAAGTGCAGCCCGCATGGCCGCATATATGTGAACCAGGGGTAAGATATACTTGGGAGTTGGTAGATCTTGCCCCTTCTTCCTGATTAAGCTGGCATACAGTTTCTACAGACAATGAAAAATTTAACAAATTACTCCATCCACACTATGCAGAGTAAATTGACAAATCTGTAGTGCCAGCTCTTGTATTCTAACAACTAGTGCCAGAAAATATCAGAATACCTAAACAGTGGTTGTATCTGACTGGATGGAACTCCTGTTTGGCTAAAACATTTCTGTCTGAGTCGTTTGATTTTTCAATTTGAAGGATGCTGGGTAGGAGGGTGGCAGCTTTCATTCATTCCATCAAGAATACCCAGCTTTAGGCAAAAAAATGCATTCTGGATTATATAATTGTTAAAAAGTAAAAAGAAATATCTTTTTGGTTGTTGGGGCATGTTTAAGGCCAACTAAAATCTTCAATAGAAATGTATTATCGTAACTAACCATTTTAATCTGTGTGTGCAAAAGGGATGATTAAAGTCTCTATGAGCATCTGTGACAGAGCTTAGCTATACTAAACTACATAATAAATTCCTGTAACCAGATGGCCATAGTTAGAACCTTAAGAAAAAACCCTCCCCGGCAGCTTCCAAATCATACTTCAGTTTTTGGCCAAATCAATAATAGAAGGAGGACCTTATCATCAGGATCACCTTTGAAGCCATTTCAGTTTATAGCAGGAATTGAAATAGACCACCCATTACTTCCAATCTTACAGGGACTCCAAATGAGATTTCTTTCATGCCTTATTGCAGTGGTTAACTACTCAAATAACTCAGTTTTTTGGTGGAACTGGCCTTTAAAACATAAAATATTTAAATTTTTTAAAATCATTCTGATATTGTAGCAAGAGCATGAATATCACTTATGTAGATGATGAGGGATGTGCCACCTTTTGTTTGCAATGATGAGCTGCTGTGAAGTTAAGGTGGTTATGAAGCATATTGCTGCCTGAAAAGCAGCCCAGAGTCAGCATTATTCCCTACCTGATAACTGAACTGTGCATGTTTCAGAGCTTGAGCCGACAGCTTGTGGCATGCCCCCATATGCATTAGTACCATTGGTAAGGACAATGTACACCGAGAGGCTACCAAAATTACATCAGGCAGGTACTGTACTGGGGCTGGTTATGATATTTGATGACCAACCCTATTTTACAGGGCATTACAGTGCCAACCCCTTCCCCTTAAGCAAGAAAGTATAGAGTGTAATTTATGCATAAGTAAAGCATGCCTATACAATAACAAAAGAAAGTGTTTATTATAATTCCCTTTTATTTGGTTGTTTTCCAAAAACTATTATCTGTGCAGGCAGTTATGCAAAGATATACAGGTTACAAACGTTTGCAACTTACTGTTTAGAGGGATACAATTACGGCCAGGAGAAAATGGAGAGGTGATGTATGTTGTCCTGTTGTCCCACTCATGGGGCAAAGAAAAAGACGTAGCCCCAACACTTTGTGACACCTGAAGAACAGGTAACTTACATTAAATATTTACATTTCCCCTATGACACAATTGCCTAGCTGAAAATAAGCACAGTCTATCCGAATAACTACCTACATGCAGTCGATAGTAATGAAATAATAAATTCATTTTAAAGATAAATTAACATTAACTCAGACTCTTACATTAGAAGTCTCTGTCAGCTGCCCAGCAGTGGCTTGCCATCTGTTGTAGAACTGGCTTGAGCTGATCCTTTCCTGTGCCAGTTTTAGTTCTCCAGAAGACAACATATGTTGTGCCCGATGCTGCCAGTTCACTGTCCTCTCGATTAGATAGCGGAGGGCATCCCCCTCTGGTAGTCGAACACGTAAACGTTGTAGAGATGCCAACAGAGGGAGAATCTTTTCCAGAGGTGGTTTCTTTGAGCGATGACATTGTGGACACAGCCAGACTTGGGATCCATGCTTTGGGGCAGTAATGCAGCTAGAGTGAAAGCAGGCTCGACACAGCTCACACTGGATCATGGGGGCAATGGGTGCTCCCTGACATATGCACACTTTCCAGTCACTCTGCTCTTCCCTTGATAAGATTCTGTTCTCATTAGACATGCGTACAGCATGTAAAGACTCCATTTCATGCAGTCTTGCTTGACCCAGAGTTGCCATCTGTTTGGATGTGCAATTAGAGAAGATGAGACCAAAATACTCTTAAGATCAAATCCTTGATTTATACACATAGGACACCTCCTTTAACCCTTTCACTGCCAAAAACCTCGCCCCCCCACCCTGTCTTTTGAGCACATGCTAAATAGCACTTTTGAAATTAAAACACTTAAAACTCCAAAATATTATATCATTTCTAAAACAAATGGCCTATAGAATAAAACAATGGTAGTTTTTGTTGCATTATATTAGTGAAACTGTTTAATCAAGGCAAAAAAAAAAAAAACCAAAAATACCACACATTTTAATTTAATGCACACAAAATCTCCAAGCATTCTGTAAAATATAAAAAAAAAATAAAAAATAGACATGACTAAGCAGAGTAAAAACTTACCAAAGATGTCAAAACTTAAAATTGTCTGCAGCCTTGAAACGGCAGTAAATTACATGCCCCAAATTTTCCAGAGGTGATGCTTACATAACTTGCCTGCCACCCCATAGTACTGCTACAGGGCGGCTTCACTGGGCAAAATTACGTAAAAATACGTGATTCTGCATTATCGAGTAGGGGGGGGCACACACGCCACCCTACCCACGCTATTATTGGCTCAATTACCGGGTCCCACTCGATCACCGGTGAAGCTGAGATGGGAGAGATCTATGTGGAAACAACACAGATCTCTCTCCTGTCAGCATGGACATGCACAGCAGAGGGATAGAAAGCAGCAGGTCTGCTTAGTGAAACAGCACATAGTACACAATAAAATCACTTCCTATCATACAGTTAACCCTTTGATTGTCCCAGATGTTAATCCTTCCTGTCCAGTGTTGTTAGTGCAGTGTCAGTCGTCCTTATTAGCAATGATCACTGTATTAGTATCACTGTAGATGTCAGTGGCAGTTAGTCAGTTCCCCACAGCCATCCCGCTATAAGTCGCTGATCGCTGCCATTACTAGTATAAATGAAATAAATAAAAAATTCCAGTGTATCTACCGCCATTTGTAGATGCTATAACTTTCACGTAAACCAATAGACACTGATTGTGATTTTTTTTTTTTTTTTTTTAAAGAACAGACATGTAGCAGAATACATTTTGGCCTAAGTTTATGATGAAATTTTTTTTTTTGGATATGTTTTATAGCAAAAAGTCAAAAATATATTTTTTTTCAAAATTGTCAGGATTTTTTTAATGTTTATAGCGCAAAATATAAAAACCGCAAAGGTGATCAAATACCACAGAAAGAAAGCTCTATTTGTGGGAAAAAATGTGAGATTAATTTACATACAGTGTGGCATGACCACGCAATTGTCAGTTAAAGCAACGCAATGCCGTGTTGCACAAAATGGCCTGGTCAGATTTATTTATTGGTCATATATATATATATATATATATATATATATATATATATATATATATATACACACACATACACATACACATATACACACATACTAAAATTAGATATTCATACACACACAATTATACATATAGAGTATTTAAACACACACACTGAAAATATAGAAGTCAAGGCAAAAATATTTCACTTACAGCAGTAGCAGTGTCTTTACTTTCATTCAGAGCTTTCTCAAGCTCCAGTAGGCCATCTGGCTTTGGGTATTTCTTCTTTCCCCCCAAAGCGGTCTGCTCCTTTATCTTTCTCATTTTTCTTTTCAATCCTGGAGAGCCAACATCACATCGAGGGCAGAGAACCTGGAAAGATGTTTAAAAAGATAAAATTATACATACGCTAGAAACTTCCTGAATTAGGAGGTTGATAAATGAGTATTGTTAGCATTTGTACCCATACAGCCTAAGTTTGGTGACAAAAGTAACAAATCTGAATGTTCAGTAAAAAGAAAAAAGGTAAAGTAAAAACTGTAACAAAATAAATACGCACTGTGGCAGAAGATGGGCATATTAACACAATGACGACCAACCTAAACTTCGCCCTCATGTATGAGATGACAGCTGTCTTTTAAGATGGCATAGTGGCTTGTACTCTGCCCAAGCTCCAACATGTGCCTCTGTGTGCAGGTCAACCCCATTTACTTCTATGGCTAATGCACAGATAATACAAATCTCTGCTTCAACGCACATATCACTGTGTATTGTGTCAGAGTTGAGGAAGTCATTGCTCATCAACCTAAAGTCTACATAAGCAGAATGTCCCCACTAGTATCTCCAAATGATTACTATTAGTATTATTGTTGCATATTACTGATCCAAAATTAACAACTGAACCCGATTCTTTTTGGAAACTTACCTCTAACAAAGTGTAGGGAGAGTTAGATGTTAAAAATGTGCTGGTGGCACACTCTGTCCAAGAATGGACTTCACCTACAAGGGCTTCAAGTCTTGGCAAAGGACCAAGATGGACAGGAATTGCTCTACCCTGATTCACAAGTTCAACCAATCCTTCCAGAACAGGAACTCTAGGTCCAGTCTTAAAGCAAAAAAGATTCAGCGTTATTAACTTATTTTGCAATGATCTATTAATGTAACATAAAGAGTAAAACTAACCTGCAATGTCTCCACCTTCTGCAGCCATTCTCGAGCTCTTTCAACAGCATCCCTTAAAGATTCCACACTTGGAAGGTAAACAGGAACACTTTCTGCTTCCCGAAGGACAGTAGTCACAGAACTAAGATTATTCCGGGGTCTAAAGGAAACCAAACATTTATACATTAAAAAAGGAACACCTACTATGCTCTCCTAACTTTCTAGCAATTGAAAAGCTGAAAAGCCACAAGTTGATGTAACTGACACCTAACCTTGCTTTGAGCAGACTTTTGCACCGGTCATCCATATGTTCTGACATAGTCAGGAGCTCCTGAAGCTCAGCCATTGCTTTCTCCACAGTAGGATGAGGAGCCAGGCCCACACCCAAATCTATAAGTCTCCTCATAACATCCAGTGTCAGTGTCCCAGGATCCTGGCAGGCTTGCTGTTGTTCCTCTAACCAGCGGGCCTGTTCCAGGCGCTCTCGCAAACTTTCTAAGGGTAATTCCAGGTCAAACTGAAAGCTGGAATCAAGAAGCTGCTGCAAATCACTTGCTCTGGGCATATCTGTTGCTAAAAGCTTCTGACTGTGCATTTGGAATTCCTCCACGCGGGTTAGGAGGTCCTTAGGAAAAAAGGGTAATAAGAATGTCACTGGAGGTATTGTAAAAAAAGGAATACAAAGATAAGGGGGGGGGTGAATAAATTGAAGAAATATGCCGATTAGCAAAATCAGACAATAACTCTAGTAAGCACATATGCAAATCAAAAACTTGCATATGCGTAAAGAGGGAAGTTGAGAGGTTCCAAAGGATCACACATGAAATCAGTCTTACAATATATCATACATTAAATAACATAATACAATAAAGTACATCATCTTTTGTATGGTTTTAAAGCAAGCATGGAAAGTGTCTACTGCAGTTATGTTTTTATGCTTAAAAATTTTTATTTTTATAAATATATAAAATACCTTGAGCTGAAGTGTCTGGTTGATGCTACATGGGAGAGAATGCAGCTGCTTTACAAAAGACTTGAGCTCAGCAACAGTTAGTTGATTCTGAGACTTTCCACCCCCTGACCGGAACCTGCAATGAGGACAGGCTCTATTAGTCACCAACAAGCAACTAGCTACATAAGAATGGCAGAGGAAAAAGTCAAAACTGCAGGCTTTGGGCCAGTGTCAATGGCATCAGTTTGACATAATTGTGAGACACTTCTAAGATCATTTTTTCCTTCACTGACCCATGCCTTTGACCTCCTTTCAACCTATAGTAGACCTGTTCTAGTGGATTTTGCATTTCTATAGATTTTTTACAGGTATGCAAAACCCACTTGGAGGTGAACAATGGCAAGTGGAAATAGTTCCTTAAAGAAGAACGCCAGTTATGTGGAGTAAAAGTAGTAGTAGGAGGAGGGGGAATTCTTCCCAGAGTGGCACTAACATGATGCAAGCACTGCTCAGCTCTGTGATGATGAACTTCCAGGGGTGTGTCAGCAACAGTGTGGGCTCAGAGGAAATGGACAGAATGACAAGATTGTCTCTGTGCCTGAAGAGGAATGGCAGCACTGAACCGAGGATGAATCTGTGGACAGCACTGGAGCATGGAGAGGATGTGTAACTCCTGAGGAGGTTATGGTGACCTTAAAATGAAGTAGTTGAAATTGAAAAAAAACTCATAAAAAAAATAAAATGTTAATACACACTACATTTGTGAGTTAAGTCTAATACATACAAGCTCCAGAAAACAGATTTTTGGAATGTTTGGCATCATGCCTCACTGTATACAAACTGCTGTGTGCACTCCTCCATTTAGACATTTGGCTGCATCCCAGCAGCCAACTAAAGTAACTCCCTCAGTAGGCTGACAATGCTGATAATTGTGTCTTATCATTGTCAGATGGCAAGTACTGTTAATGGCAAAATTTTCAGGTAAAGAACTTTGCTAGACTTACCAAAAAAAAAAAAAAAAGGGATTTTTGTCTTACCTGTAAAATAATTTTTTGGGGAGTACATTAGGACACATAGGATGGTATTCTGGAACCAACAAGCTATGCAGATGACTCCAACAGACAAGATATTGGCAAGCAAAGCAGTAAGGACAGCCCTGCAAAACCTCTTGTACTACCAGCAAGCGTTAGTTATTTGGCAAACAATAATAAGAGTGAATCAAAGAAACAGGGGGAAAAAGGATTTAACAGGCAAGACAAAAATCCTCACTTCTTTATCATACATTACAGGGCACAGCATGGTATTCTAAAACCGGCAGGACGTTCAGAAGCAGTCCAACTGAGGGGTGGACAACAATGAATGGCTAACAGGCCAGGTAAATTAACAAGGGAACGGATAAGGCACCTGTTGAACGAAAAAATTAATGTATGGCTAGCCTTACAAAAAAACTGTAACAGAGAGATAAACCCAAAGACAGTGTACCAACGTAGACCAGAGAAAAAACATGATTGGCCCCTACAAAAAAACTACCTGGGATGGAATTTCCTTGCCTTCCACTAAGAAAAGTACACCCTCTAAGTGCAATGGCAGATCTTGAGCGAAATCATACAAAACACTTCCAGGTGAAGAGACTATACCATGGAATCCAGAAATTGATGACCATGGAATTTAGTCTGTCCATTTTCTATGCCTGGGATGCACACAGGGCTGAAACGTGAAATTCAGCCAAACTTGAATCAGGTTTGCTTCTTTTTAACTAGTTTCAGACTTTGGGCATGCTACACACACACCACAAAAAACGTAATCATTATACACAAAACGTGTGGCATATACTTCATATACATTTGAATTAAGTTGTTTTTATTCACATCTTTGTTATGTATAACCTTGTTATCTTAAGTAATGACAAAGTTATCACCAAAACAGGTCAGTAGTAGAAATGTAAAAATTGCTCTGGTCCATAGGGGGAACAAGTGTGAGAGGTGAATTGTCTCCCTATTTAAATGATGTAAGCCTCTGCTGTGGCATTGCCCAAATCTTATCAGGTGATCCTGCAGCCAAGAGGTCCATCATCAAAAAGATGACCAAACTGCCCTGATATCCATTAAACTGATCCAGAGCTATGCTTCCCCTGACGATCAAATTCCCTCTAAGAAAAGGGCATCCAGAAATCCTTCCCAGCCTAACAGGCTGGCAAATGTAGTGAGCTACCTTCCAGACCATCGTGAAAAAGAATCTGCCCTAATTACTACGATGGACTGGAAACCCACCATGCCAGACTGCCTGTCCCATGCTGCCAGAAAGTTGAGTTGCATATCTGGAGTGAAAACTGGACACATGGGAATATGACACCATTAGGCCCAGAATTCCCATGCAAACACTAATGCTGTATTGTAGGGTCCAAATATAGGAGCGGGGGAAGGAACGCCCCTGGACAGGGACATATCACATATTCAGCCCAGATAATCCAGGAAAGGAGTCAGATCGAATACTGATTTCTGGAGCTGTAGAATACACCTGAATCATTGCAAGGTCTGCACTGTCCATCAGACATTGGCTGCCAAGAGACTGAGCCCACTGTTCCCTCAGGTGCAGACTGTCCTGATGTCCCACGATGGGGATAAAAGCAGAGTGAGAACAGGGGTAGCACCTTGGCGAAAACCCAAGGTGCAGTGGACAGGCCAAAGAGAAGGTCAACATATTGGTAATGTTGTGTGCCCACAGCAAAATGCAAGTAGCACTGATATGCCAGAAGAAGATGTGGAAGCAAGAACGCTTGATGTCTACAGAGGTCAGACGGTCATCCAGATGAAAGGAAGCAATGACTGACTAAGCAGATTCCATACAGAGTTGCGGAACCCATAAGAATCTGCTGAGAATTTTTAGATCCTCCTTTCCTCCTCAAATTCCTCCTTTGGCCTTGGGGATGGGTGAACAAGTTTGAACAGAAACCCTAGAATCTTTTCTTCATCTGAGCCAACAGCTATGACTTCTTGAGAGTCCAAGGATTTGTCCCAAAGGAGTTTCCCTTTTTTTCACCACTCTGCACAAACGGCTTTTTGCACAAAAACTCTGCAGACCAAACATTTAGCTTAACTTAGCTAAAGGATCCTGCTCATAAGTGCCAAAAAGAGACCCATCTTGGATAACTGGTAAAGTGTATCCTGTAGCCCTTCAACTCAAGAACAGGGCCATAGACAAGAGTATTAATTGGAGGACAGAATGATCCATCAGTATAGATCCATGGTCCCAAGCCATGTCCTTGTACCATAAAGCTGGAGTCTGGCAGATGGACATTGTCATAACAGGCAGGGTCCGCCAAGGCAAACAAGGCCTCAGAAAGGTCTTCTAACCCTTTAACCACAGGGTTCACGAAAACTAGTACATCCTCATTTGGAACTGTTAAGGTTTCATTAAAAATTAGTTCACACTGAAACATGAGTGAATGGACTCTAAGACAGGAAGTGGCTGGATCTCTTACCAGCTCAGTCCACTTTTTCGGGAACTGCTGTTCAATAGGATGATGTCAGGCACTGTACAATACAGGCTGCAAAAGTGAGTGTATGGGGCGGTTTTAGAAGGTTAAGGTATTTTTAGGAAACTCAGACAGGTGACCTTTAGCACTAGGTCAAAGTATGTATGCACTGCATTACTAGAGATAGAAATAGTATCCTTAAAGGATGACCATAATCTAAATGTACAACTTTCTTTAGGTACACTATCAACTATCTAGTGATATGATACAAACAGATTTGAAACAAACTGAATGGGCAGTTTAGGTGTATCCTATTATAGTTTTGATCAATCTGAAGGAAACTGTACAGAGATTGTACAAACGGACTGTATAGTGTTTAGCCAGCTTAAGCTTGGGAGATATAATTAGGAGACTGAGCTTCTTCATGTATTGAATCGTCTGAACCAGGCAAGATACCATCATCATCCCCCACTTCATAAGTGCAGAAGCAGCTAGAGGAATATTAAATATGTACTTTGAATTCAGACATTGAGACAGTTTACTCTAGATAAGTAAGATTACAAACTTCCCTCAAGAAGGACTCTGGGGATGGTAGCAACTCAGTTTTGGGAAAAGATATTCAGACTTGCAGAATCAGGACCCTTAATGGACATACTGCAAACTATCCTTAAGTGATTAGCTGAACACCGCCCACTCACCCTGTACATTTGATGAACCATAAAGTGTGGGGAATGTCCCACTAGGGGTATTTGCAACCATATGCTACAGAGCAGGAAGGGTTAAGACTTTCATGACCAGTCAATGTACTGTACAGTAGGGAGACCAGGAACATCCAGAGGATCACTGTGCAGAGGTGAGGAAGGTGTGACCAGAAGTAGTTCATATAGGACGCATGTGTATATGTGCAGCACACCCATCTCAGAAGGAGACTGCAACCACAGTTGGACACCCAGGCCTGAAAGCCTGGTAATTCAAACACTGGGCCAAATTTAAAATTGAACTGGACTTCTCCCACCATCACCTGTGAAAGAATGAGCTGCAGACACGCTACACTTTTTTAAAATTCTTGGAGACAGAAGAGCAGGCTCTTATATAGGGCAAAGCTTTGACATACAGCAATGGTGCACCCTGCAGTTCTCCCAAGTCAACCTTGAAGGATGTTGGGAAAAAAGTCTGATCAAGGAAATTCACCCAGAAGGCATACCCCCTATGGAGTCTTTAGAACCAGGGTTCCACTGATGGGTGTACCACGGTCCTGGACATGTAAAACACATTTAAGCAAACTCAATACGGCACCACATTGCCTAGGTGTGCGCCTAATACAGAGCCCATTGCCAAAGGGAAATAATACAGGCCAGCTCTGCATCTTCTTCCTGGTGGGGTCTGAGTAGGCTCAGCCAAGGCAGAGCCAAGGAGTTGAAGAAGCTGTCAAAATGATCCACAGTTGCTCAGCAGCAGCAAAAGAAACTTGCTGGTGCCAAAAAAAAAAAAAATAAAACAATCTTAGGAAAAAAGCAACAAAAAGGATAGTAACAAAAAAAAAAAATAAAAATAAAAACTGAGGCTTGCTGGGAAGGGTTATATAGGACTGTCCTTTGTTTGCCTGTGTTCAATTTCCTGATGGTAGCTGCAGAACCCATTGGTTTCAGAATACCATCCTTTGTCCTGTAATGTACCATAAGAAAAGAGGCACAACATTAAAACATACTAAAATGTATTTACAGTTTACATATACTATGTACAGATACATTTTAACCAGCTCTTTTAACCAGTGTACATAATTCAGTTTTATCATTCCCTAGCTGTATAACCTGGTTTGGCGTTTTCCATTCAACAGTTGCTGTGCAAGAGTTCCGCATTTCTCTGCATCTTGCACAACGGCACGCAAGTGTCGTAAAAGGTCATTTTCAGGAAATTTCCTAGATTCAGATTCTTCCACAAGCACTCGAAGACTGGGAAGGCCTAAAAACAATGATCAGTCCATCAAATTTATTTAAGGTAAATAAGAAATCACAAGCAAAAGTTTTTCAAGGCACAGAAAACTTCCCAACTACATTCCTGATTGAAAAGTAATCAAGTGGCTACAGTGTCATTTTTAATTTAAGTCTTTCATTTAAAAAAAATGGTTTTGACTAAAGTGAAAAAACTTGAGTTATGTATACGGCTCCTAATTATGCCTCAACGCTATGGTGTCTTCTGGTGATAAGTCAGATTGTGTGTGACAGAATCTGCATTACTATGGGCCCCCTTACTGTCTATACTAACAGGAAAGCACAGTGGCTAATTGGTTAGCACTTCAGCCTGGCAGTACTAGGGTCGCTGGTTCGAATCCTAACCCCCGGCACCACCTGCCTGGAGTTTGCCGGTTCTCCCTGTGACTGCGTGGGTTTCCTCCGGGTACTCCGGTTTCCTCCCACACTCCAAAGACATGCTGGTAGGTTAATTGGCTCCTGTCAAAATTGTCCCTAGTATGTGTATGTATGAATGTGAGTTAGGGACTTTATATTGTACGCTCCTTGAGGGTTAGGGACTGATGTGAATGTACAATATATGTATGTAAAGCGCTGCGTAAATTGACGCGTAAATTGATAAGTACCTGAAATAATAAATAAAGGCTGGGATGACAGATCAGAAGACAACCATTAGTGCCAAGGATATAAAAAAAAAGTGAAAAGTGCAGCGCTAGTGGACAATATGCAAAGGAACAGGCCTGAGGCTGACCAAAACCTCAAATGCAGTGAGTATAATCAACAGTATAGTCCAAAGATAGTAGTGTCCAGTGTGTAGTGAAACGCATCAAGGAGGAGCCACATACTCCTGAGACGTCACGCCACCAGATCAAGGAGGTCCGGTGGCCCCCATAACTATCCAGCTGGTTAGTGATTTGAGCGGTTTCCCGCTGTACGCTTCACATCTACTTTTATACATTAGCGAAGGCCTTTTATGCTCTTTTATGTATGTTCATCTCTTGATGCATTAATAAACATTTAAGATTTTGATCTACTATACTATGGATACCATTCTCTGCTCCATGCCGAGCATTTAACTCCTAGGATCCTATGGTGACTACCCCTGAGGCCCAGAGGAGAGGGATTCAACTGTACCGACCCCCACTGCAGCTCCACCAGTAGAGAAGACCTCTATAGGCGCCAATACTGAGAGAGGGTCTACCCAGTGTGAGCTGCACCTTCCATAGGACAAGAGGGGACCTCTGGTTTATATCATTGCGCTTTCATACTGCGCATCTGGTGAGTGCGCATTTCTCATATTTCCTGCACGTCACCAAGTGCATGCCTCATTGGGAGTAACAAAGTCACCAATTTGTCAGAGATCACTACACACTGGACACTACTATCTTTGGACTATACTGTTGATTATACTCACTGCATTTGAGGTTTTGGTCAGCCTCAGGCCTGTTCCTTTGCATATTGTCCACTAGCGCTGCACTTTTCACTTTTTTTATATACTCAGAAGGTTTTTAGGTTTCCTTTAGTGTATCAGCTGCTTCCATATACTGTTTAGCGCTCACTGGACCACCTTTATATATTAGTGTCAAGGATGCTTCTCCATGCTATAACATTTCAACTTACTCTTTTTATTGGTAGTTGCTTTAAGAGCATCAACAACCTCAGAAGCCCAAGCATCATAGGATTCTGCACGCAACTTCACAGCATTCATCATGGGGTACAAATCATCAAGAGTGTAGCGATACCTGGGATCAAGACAAAAATTTAAACGAAAGAAAAAAAAAAAAAAAAAAAACTTACTGTAGCATCACATTCTATACAGTAAACTATCTACAGTAATACCTCGGTTTACGAATTTAATTAGTTCTGCAGGACTTTTCACATAGCGAAAAATTTGTAAACCAAAACATGTTGATGGGGACAAGGGCCTCTTCCCCACAACCCTGGCCCGAAGACCCCCAGAACCACCAGCCAGGGTTGTTGTAGGGAAGAGGCCTTTGTCCCCATTAACATGGGGACAAGGTGCTTTGGGGGGGGGGGGGGAAGCCCCCCTACCCCAAAGCACCCCCCATGTTGAAGGCACGTGGCCTGGTATGGTTTAGCAGGGAAGGGGGGGGGGCGCTAGTTTGCCCCCCCCCCCTTTTCCTGACCTGCCAGGCTGCATGCTTGGATAAGGGTCTGGTATGGATTTTGGGGGGGACCCCCACGCCATTTTCTTTTTTACATTTTCGTGTGGGAGTTCCCCTTTAAAATCTATACCAGACCCGAAGGGCTTGGTATGGATGGGAGGGGGGACCCCACGCCATCTTTTTTTTTTAATTTATTATGGTGCTGGTTTTTAAATGTAATTACCACTTTTTTGTTTGTTCACTATAGCTCAGAAATTCAGCTGTCACTTTCCCCCAGCTAAAAGAAAGAAAGTTTCCTTTTAGTTTATTTCCTGTAATGTCTGGGAAAGTGACAGCTAATCGTGTGAGCTATAGTGAAGAAAAACAAAAAAAGCCAGAAATTGCATTTAAAAATCAGCATCGACATACACTTTGTATTGCAAAAAAAATTTGTAAACTGAGGCGTTACTTAAAATGGATTTTCATTTGTAAGCCGAAAATTACATTAATCGAGGCGTTCGTAAACAGAGATACCACTGTATGTCTGTCTTCAATGCTCTTAAACTTAAAGGTTAGTTGTTTTTAATATAATTGTGCCTGTGGAAATCCAAGTAAAGGCTGCAGTCTAGGACAAGGCAACGCTTCTTGAATACTGCTTTTATCAGATGATCACAGTCTACGGAGAAATTATGAGATTAGACCAGTCCACACAGATCCAGGTGTTCTAAATTATGGCCGCAGTCGTCAGTGACTGCATTCCAATGCTGTCAGAGCATGCTAACAAGCATCTGCTTTCAAGATCATACACTTTTATATTATTTATCTAGTCTATGTACAAGTCAAAGATCAAACACTTCTACAACTGAATGTCGAAAATCCACAACCGATACTCCTCAACTATTAATTTCTTTGTGCAAATTCTAGAATGATGTTCTTCTAAGAAATATACAGCATCTCCAGTTTTATAGCGTATACTTACCCTAAAAAACATACTTGTGTGGGTGACAACAGTAGAGAGCATCAATATGGTACAGACAAACAAGACTGCTAGGACTGCAAGGACAATACACTGCAGATGTGAAGCAGGTTGTCTTACACTTCACACATTGCCGTTCATCGTCTGCTAGTAACTCCAGATCAATCTTTTCAGATTCAACAACACCCTGCAGAAAAATAAAATCTAATTATTAAAGATCTAGATACACAGTTGTAAAACATATATGTGAATTGCTTTACCTGCTCAAAATTTTGGAGTTTTCCGTAACCAGTCGCAAAATACACCAGTGCCACAGTACATAGTACTGTGAAGTCATTTCAGCACTGCACCTTCTTGTGTTTGTCTACTGGGCAATAAAGGAGTGTCACCACTCTCATGACAATTATGTAAATTGACTTTGTACTATAGGAAAGGTGAGTGATCAACAAGAATAACTGTATATGCAGTGGGCCCTTTCACAGCATCAGATTGCATTTAACTTGTGGTAAAGGGCACAGTAATGCACTGTGTGTGAGCTTGTGTTCTGCAATGCCATTCATTTTCTTTCCTGAGCTACAGAAAAGTGCAGCTTGCACAATTGTTTTAAAAAAAACTGTGAATGAGCTGCCTATTTCAGCACACTTTAATTCACAAAAATGCATGTGTTGCTATACAGTGAGGTATCGTATTAATGGGCCCTAGAAGTTAAAGAAAACCTAGGCAACTTTATACTTTAACCACTGAGATAAATCAGTTGTGAGGGATAAGAGGATCTTTGGTTTACCTTTAAATCCTGTCCTTGGAGTACAGAACAGGATCTTCGTGATAACCATGAGTTGAAATAGAACTAAAAGGTCAAAATTCCCCCCCCCCCCTTTATTTGGATAGAGTAAGGGAGGGTTAAAACTCCTGTCAGTTTTTTTTTTTTCTTGACAACTGTGTACCCTTAGTCTAGGTTCACACCTATGTGTTTTTTCTATTGCGTTTTGCAGAAATGCAAAGCAGTCCAATTAACATGATTTCCTATGGGATACATTCACATCTCCGCGTTTTCACCCAATGTGTTAATTTTGGAAAGAGTCAGGAACTTTTTTTTTTTTTAAAAATATGTTGAGTTTTTGGTTCAATAGACTTCAATGGAGACACCTGCAGAAAAGAACGTAGTATGTTTTTTGTATGCGTTTTAATCTGTCCAGCAACAAGTAGGAAAACAATGCAAAACAAATCAAAACCCCATGTGCAAAAACGCACTGCAAAAAGCACTGCAGAAACGGATCAAAAGCAAATTGCATAGGTGTGAACCGAGCCTAAGGGTGATTTCCCTTCACTTCCTGCCCCATACCCAAAACAGGAAGTACAAACAAATCCCTCCAACGTGAGTCAGGGTATCACCCAGGCCACCAGAACAAGTGCCCCATTTGAAGATTTCCCATGTATTCCTCTTCTGGGGACAACCAAACATTTGGGGGGGGGGGAAGAGAGAGAGGGCAGAGAGAGAGAAAAAAAAAAAAAAAAAGAGGAAAAATAGAGGGAAAAAAAAAAAGAGGAAAGAGAAGAAAAAGAGAAAACAAAAAAGAGAAAAAAGAAAAAAAAAAAAAAAAGGAGGAAAGAAAAAGAAACGAACACAAAACAGAGTGCCCCCCCCCCCCCTTGCATGGGGAACCTGACGCAAGGGGGGGGGGGGGCACTCTGGGGACCCCGATGCGATTACCAGTTAAAATAGCACAGCAAAAAATGGCCTGGTCAAGAAGGGGGGTAAATATTCCAGAGGGCAAGTAATTAAAGTGATTCTAGGGGCTTTTTTTTGGGGGGGGGAGTTAAGAAAGAATAACAAGCATGTTTATACTTACCTGCTATCTGCAGTGGTTTTGCACACAGCAGCCCGGATCCTCCTTTTCTTGGGTCCCCTGCAGGCTCTCCTCGCTCCTCCCTCTTGTCGGATGCCCCCACATCAAGCAGCTTGCTATGGGGGCACCTGCTGCTCCGAGTGTCCATTCACATGGAGCTGCGACTCGGCCCCACCCCCTCTCTCTTCTCATTGGATCACTGGCTGTGATTGTCAGCAGTGGGAGCAAATGGCTCCTACTTCTGTCTCAGCCAATGAGGAGAGGGAGTCCTGGGATGGCCGAGATTCCAGTACACATTGCTGGATTGAATGGGGGCTTAGGTGATTAGGTGGGCTGGGGGAGATGCTGCACACAGAAGGTTTTTTTTACCTTCATGCATAGAATGCATGAAGGTAAACAACCTTGAGCCTTTACAACCGCTTTAAGCTCCTTCCACTGTTAGGCAAAATCTGTCACCTGTGCCACTTGCTACTGACCTTTGCCTGATTTACTACTGACCCCTTTCCTCTGCCCCACTGACCCTTGTACACTGCCCTACAAACTGCTGATGCTATCCTCTCCCTTCTTACCCCCTGCACACTGCCCTGATGACCTCCCATCTTCTGCCCCTTTGACAATTTTTACTGCACCTCCACATCAGTCAGGCTAGATCTGGCTCTGCTCACAGCCAGTAGTGATCCAGACCAGACAGGAGGAATGACAGACTGCGCCCCCCACGGTGTACTTCCTATGTTGGTATGTTCCATAAAGGTGGGCATGGTGGCAGAAAACTCTCCCCTAGATAGGTAGCAGAAAGGGTGTTCAGCCGAGGGAGCAATGGAAACCCTCTGACCCTTTGCCTCTGTCTCTATGATCTGCCATGCACAATGATGTGCCCTCGATGGTGTACTGCCAACATGGCTGTGAAAGAGAAGAGGAAGCCTTTTTTGCCAAGCACTGTAGGCTGTTGAACCCCAGGAGGTGTTCAAGGATTGCTGCTATGTATCATGTGAGCCAAGTTGCCAACAGGGAGAGATCACCATGAGAAAAAAAATTATGGCATGCACATGTACAATAGGGCCAGAGTACTATGATTAATCAGTAATTTATTTATTTATGGTACTTATATAGTTGAGGAGTGGGCGGGGGGTATGTCTTTCAATTGATAAGCTCCTATTAGGGTAGAAAAACAAAATTTGTCTAACCATAGTCAAATTTGAGGAAGTGCTCTGGTCATTATTTTTTACTAACTGCTTTGTCACACTAAACTGTGCTGATAATCTATGCATGTCTTATTTACGATACCACCAACGTCATTTAAATTTGATTGGGTTCTCATTTGAGATCCCTCTGAAGTACTTATAATGGTAGGAGTTGTCCTCATTTCTGGTGGATTCACTCTCACAGTTCTCTGTGAGGCAGGACTAAATAATATTGTTTACAAATGAACCCCTACATTATACTACTACATATTAATATGTAAGCTACTACTTACATGCGACATACTTTGAAATGTTTTGTGTGTTTTTCTATTGCTGCAATATTTCGTTATCTGGAAAAATGTTTGTATTGTACTCTGAAAATCGGTGCAGATAAACCCTTATTAGGCCAACAAACTTTAGAATACAGAACCATGTCAACTAAACCAAAACATTATTACTCTTTTACCACATTGACACACAATAAAGAGAAATATTGGTTCTCACCATTTTACGAACTGCCTCACGAAGAGTCTTCTCGTCTTCAATCATGAGGGCTAAATCTTTCTGTACGGAGGATGCAAGAACAACATCCAGTCCTTCAGCTTTAGAAGCCATCTTGCATATCATCTCATCATGTGAAAAAACACAGTATCTGTTAAGGTGCCGATAATGTTCCACACACTGACGACCAAGAGGCAGCTGAGGTAACAAATAAGAAGGTGTGTGCACCAATAAATAAAAATAGTTAATGTAACATAATTTTACAAGTGTACTGAAAAAAGAAACATGCAAAATACACCTCACATCTGGTATTCTATGTGGAAAAATTAAACACCATTCCAGGGCTCGACGAATCCCAGGTGCCAAGTTGCCATGGCAATCAGAAATTGCATTCTGGAGCCTGGGCTTCTGCCAGCAACTCTAATTGCCTGACACCCTGGACATGCAGCTCCAGGCAGCCGATCCTTCTCTCCCCCCCCCCGGCTGGTCTCCATGGCTTCCCAAGAAGCAGGCCAGGCAGGAGTCTGATGTCTGGCTGTCAGGTCCAGTGTGAGTGACATAGTCGGGGGTGGCCAGGGTTCTCTCCGCAGGTGACAGCTGTCCCCTCCCCCAATGATGCCCATGAAGGGTCCAAGGATGAACAGCCTCTCTCTGGGGGAGCTATGTTAGCTCCTCTGTTGCCCACCATGCCTGAGCTGCATCCCCACCAAGCTGGCCTTCCCGTGGAGCTCAACTGGTGCACACACAGTGTGCGAGGCGGATAGGGCCGTGGGGGGGGCCCAGCGGCCTGTGTCCCCCACCGAGTAGCCTCCACCTGATGGAGCGGGCAGACTGGCAGTACTCTAACCAGGAGCTGGACGTGCTGAAGGTGCTCCGGTAGAGGACGAAGTGGGGGAGGTGCCTGGGCTTTATGTCTGTCCACTGTGCCCCAGGGAGCCACTACACTCTTCTCTTCTCCCAGGGGAACACGGTGGATCTGGGACAGATGTGCTCCTTCTTCATTGGCCTGGGCTCCTGCATCAACTGCAACGTCTTCTTCTATGACTATTCTGGGAGTAGGGGGGCAGGGTCAAAGTTTTTTGCTTCATCTCCAATCACTGGCCATCTCCATCATCAAAAATAAAGCCCTATTAGTTTAAAAAAAAAAAAAAAAAACAAAAAAAAACTGGGTCCTAACTTTTTAAGCTGGCTCCTAGATTTTGTCAAGCCCTGCACTACTCTATGATCATGGCCAATGTAATTAAAAAAAAAAAAAAAAAAGTACCAGCTAGGAGAAACCATTACATATCTGCAGTTTACAATAAAGTCCAACAACAACAGGCACAAAAGACAAAAAATAAACCCTTAAATGATCATTATGTCTAGGGGGCAGAACGAGAGGCTGCATCACTTACCTGACTCCCCACCCCTGGAGGCACTGGTACTGCTCTTTTTTCCTAAAGCTCCTCGGCTGGAAGGAAATAAAAGTTTCTTGATTCCCCTAGTGCTTTTGTGTTCTGTTGATGGGGAGCCTTACCCACTGGCAGAACTCAATGATCATAGCAGCTGGCAGTAATCCCATGAAAAAAAATATCAAGGCTGGTTGTACTTAAGTCAACTGATGGATCGACTTCAGTACAACCAGCCTGCCCATGGATGGATCAAATTTCAGGCCGGTGACTGCTGAGCCAGCCAAGATTTGATCCATCAATGGCAGGCTTAAGGGAGTGTTACGACCCCTATCATTTTGTGTCATCTGTACCCCATTGTAGAGAATTCCCTTCCTGTCCCAAAGCCAAAACAAGAAGTGAGAGAAAATCCCTCCAAAGTGAGGGAATCCCTGGTTGTCACCAGGGTCATCAGAACTAGCTGGAAGATTTTCCCTCTATTGTTCTGGAGACAACCCAAAATGTGGTATTTTCTTTCATTTTCATTTTGCATGATAAAAAGGTAAACATGACAAAGAGGAGGGTAAATTTCCCTAACGGGAGCACAGACCGCAATAAAAACCTGACGGGTGTTCTAATCTGTCTCCATTATGTTCAAAACTAAAATAAAACGTTTTGCTTTTAGTTATAATTTAACCTTTCATTGTATGTGGTGGATGCGGGAATGTGACTGTAGTTGGAGGCAGCTTGCAAAACAGGCTGCGGCAGACTGGTAGCACGAGGAAGCCTGCTGGAACAAGGAGGAGGTAAGTAATACAGCCTTTTCTGCTGTCCCCTTAACCCAACAAACATGTAACACCAGCAGCCTTTTAGAGCCCACGCTGTGTCTGTGAAGTCTTAGCAGGTCAGTATACTACACTCTCCTGGGCCAATCCAGGTCTATGAAAACCACTGGAATACCCCGTCTTGTTATGATTCTGCAAAGCAGTGAAGGAAGAAGTTTCAGAAACCAGTTTGTTGTTGAACGTGGGGCAAAGAAGTCCACATCTAACATTCACCACAGGTGACACAGGTCCTGAAACATCTGTGAGTGCTGAGATAAATTTCTGTGTCTAAACACTGCCAGTTGACAAAATCCACCTTCTAGTTGTCCACGCTGGGAATGTACATGGCTTCCCAAACTGGAACATAATCTGTTCAAGACAGAATTCAAATGTCCAGAACTATCCTCAGATATTCCAAGCAATGAGTCAGCATGACCTTTCAAGGCTCAGGATTTATTCTAACCTCTGTAAAATCTTTACAGACAGGAACAGGTACTCCAGAACCATCTTTGAAAGAGGGAGGTTGTCCAGGTAGCTCACTATTGGGATACCTTGAGAGTATAGGTCCAGTACTGGAGCCAGTGCCACCTGGTGAACACCAAAAGGCTATATGGGCTTTTTCCATTTAGGGCAAATCAACAGGTTTTCATTAATCCAATTCCCAGCAGCATATATACTCTCCTTTCCTTCCCCTTCTGCACAGAGAGTTGAAGAAAATACCCAGTATGTTCAGGTATGAAGGCGCATGTGATTCCTTCCATACAACAGCACTGGCCCATTCTAGCTGCATAATTTATATTGTCTTTTGAGTGCTAACCCTGCATGTCTTAATCAACAGAATAATCATAATTTTATAATCATGGCAATTTTCCTTTTAATGACTACTCAGCACAAATATTTTCCTTACCCAGTCCACTGTGCAGAAATTGACAGCCTCAGCAAAGTTGAAGCCCTGGTTAAAGCCACTATGATAAGCACGTGGAAAAGTTATAACAAATTCTCCTGCACACTGATTGGTTCGATATATCTATAGAGAAGAACAGAATGTCTTACAAAAATATGCACATATAAAGTACAATAAAAATCAAAATTTGTTACCACTTTATATTGAAAAATATCAAAATGCACTCATACCGGCACACCATGAGACATCAGGGTATTGGGATTCATAATGGTGACCAACTGATGGAGTAGGTCAGGCTGAGCAACAAACAACTCTGGAGCTAGTTTCTTCATCACCTCCTCTAGCTGCTCTGCAGCATATCCAGGAGCTCCATACCATGTCTTTGGCTCACCCCTGGAAAATGGTCTTACGTTGGTAAAATGTTTTCTACAGGCTTTATGATTCATATCATAATTAATCCTCACCAGTGCAGGTAATTGATAGAATAACTCCAGTGGTCTTCAATGTGCCAACAAAAGGAGGAAAAGCACATGCCCACATAAAGCCATGGCAACTTCATTCCACAGATGTCAGCTGTTATATGGGTCAACACTGAAGGCTCCATTACAGGCATATTATTTAGATTCCAGCCACAATCAAGGTACTCCTAAGAGGAGGGAGAAAAAAAATTAGTGACAGAGTAAACCCTCAGGGAAGTAAAGATAATATACAAAATTCAGTTATTTTTCACCTCATCTTCTGGCTTTACACGAAACTTTCCATTCCGAACAGGAAATCCGCTTCCAAATTCCTTAGATGCAATATCGGCTCCATATTCAACAGTAACATCCTCTTCTATGGTGCTTACTAGTCGCCAAAATTCCTTCTCTACCAACTCTGTGGGCACCATCTGCAAAGATAAGAAAAATAGTTAGGCTTGCTTAGTAACAGATTAGGAATCCTCCCAAAAGGGCACTGCATAAATGACAACTTCCACCGAAAAATAAGGGAAAACAAGAACACCATATTTGTAATCGATTAAAAAAAATGTATTTAGCGTGTGTAAAAAAAAAAAAAAAAAAAATGGTCTCACTATATACACGAAAACAGAGAAGGAATATATTTGTTTGGAAATATTCCTGGAGACAGCTACAAGTAACAATCTCCCTTCTCTGCACACCATTTTAAACTTAAAGTAGAACTATAGGTAAAATGCTTTTTTTCCCCATTTTGGATACAGTAAGGAAGGGTTATTACCCCTAACAGATTCTTTTTTCCCGCTATCTGTATCCCATTGTGAAGATTTCCCTTCAAATTCCTATTACATAGCCAAAACAGGAAGTGAAAGGAAAGCCCTGAAAATTAGGGGAATTTCTTGGGGACCTCCAGATCACCAGAACTGGTGTCCCCATTGGAAGATTTCCCCTCTATTACATTTCTGAGGACAACCCAAAATGTGGAATTATTTTACTTTCAATAATAATGGTACATAGGAGAAATAGAGAGGGTATATCTTCCTAATGGGGGCACAGACAGCAGGAAAAAAAAAGAAAAAACTGACAGGCGTTCTAATCAATCTCCACTTTGTCCAAAACTAAAAAAAAAAAAAAGTTTTGCATTTAGTTATACCTTGAAATAGGGTGTGATCTGCCTGCTGGAGCTGCAGCCAGGGGTGCATGCTTTTGAGCACAATGGCAAAAAATACATAACCCTGCTCACAGCAAACAAGCAATAACTGAGGGGATATATATATGTAGTTTTAATTTTTCATAATTAAGGTGGTCATTTAAATTCTGACCTTAGGTAGGAAGAGTCACCTCTCTAGAAATCTGATAGGGAAAATAACTTGCTGTCCATAAATGTTATGTAGTCACATAAGATCCTAAAAAAATAAAATAAAAAAACAAACGTACATGAACAGGCATGTTAAAATAGTCAGATTTGAAGTTATCAGCCATCTCTCCAAACATACGCAGAGTATAATCCCGGCAAGCTTGTTCGAATCCAAACGCTTCCTGTGGCTTACTGCATTCCTGAAATAAAAGAGCAAAAAAAAAAAAAAAAAAAAATCTATAAATAAAACAGAATTAGATAGTCACCTCAGGAGTCACTAGATTGTTGCCAACATCCCTTGATAGTACGTAAATAAATATTCCCCAAAGAAAACGGGGATGGGACTTTTCAGACAACATACAACATGGATATCCTTTTTCTTGGTGGTATCAACGGATAGTATTTGAGGCAATTTTACGCTTTGCTGACTTCACTTCAATCTATTTATATTCTGGACGGTATGTAACAAGTATATAATGTACAGATTGTAATATTTGTTGTATGGAATTCCTTATTTTTGTTATACTTTGAACCTTAGAAAAATGATTTAGTCATCACTTATCTGCAGCTTGTCCCTGATGAAGGAACTAAAGAAAGTTCTGAAATGCATCAGGTATCTTTTTATTATTATTATACAGGATTTATATAGCGCCATCAGTTTTCTCAGTGCTTTACAATATAAAGGAAGACAATACAGCAATGATACAGTTCAATATAAGAGGGATAGGAAGGCCCTGTTCCTTGGAGCTTACAATCTAAGAAGAAGGGGCTGGTGGTACAAAAGGTAATAACTGTGAAGGATGAACTGATAGGAGGAATAGAATATTCCATTATTAGCTGAAGGCAGGATGAGCTTCCCTGAAGAGATGGATTTTCAGAGATTTCCTAAAGGTTGGCAGAGTAGGTGACAGTCGGATAGATTGGGGTAGAGCGTTCCAGAGAATGGGGGAGGCTCTGGAGAAGTCCTGGAGATGAGCATGGGTGGAGGAGACAATGGAGCTGGAGAGCAGGTCATGGGAGGAGCGGAGAGTACATTTTAGGTGATATTTGGAGACAAGATTGGTGATGTAATTTGGGGCAGAGTTATAAATGGCTTTGTATGTTATTGTTAATGTTTTGAATTTTATTCGTTGGGCAATGTGAAGTTAGTGGAGGAATTGGCAGAGAGGGATGGCAGATATGGAATGGATAAGTAAGGTGGATGAGTCTGGCAGCAGCATTCATGATAGACTGAAGAGGGGATAGCCTGCGATGAGGTAGGCCAATGAGGAGGGAGTTACAATAGTCAAGGCGAGAGATAACAAGGGAGCGAATAAGTTGCTTAGTGGTTTCAGAGGTTAAGAACAGGCGTATCTTGGAGATGTTGCGGAGGTGAAGTCTACAAGATTTGGACAGTGATTGGATTTGGGGCTGAAAGGACAGATGGGAGTCTAGGATTACACCTAGTACCCTGGCACTTTAATTACCTCTGGGATTTTTATTTTTTCTTAAACCAAAAACCACTGAAAATTTTGAAAAAAAAAAAGTTCTGTCTTAGTTTTTGTTATACATTTTGTAAATAAGTGATTTTTCTCCTTCACTGATGTGCGCTAATGAGGCTGCAGTGATGGGCACTGATAGGCTGCACTGATGGACACTGATAGGTGGCACTGATGGGCACTGATGAGGAGGCACTGGTAGGTTGCACTGATGGGCACTGAAAGGCATCACTGATGGGCACTGAAAGGCAGCACTGATGCATGACACTGATAGGCAGCACTGACTGGCACTGATGCGCACTGATAGGCGACACTGACTGGCACTGATAGGTGGCACTGATTGGCATTGATAGGTGGCACTGACTGGCACTGATGGGTGACATTGAAAGGCAGCTCAGGTGGGCACTGATATGTGGCATTGATGTGCACTGGTATGCACTGATATGTGGCACTGATGGGCACTGACAGGTGGCACTGATGAGCACTGACAGGTGGCACTGATGAGAACTGACAGGTGGCACTTCTGGGGCCACACTGATGATCAGTGTACATGTCCCCTCCGTGGAAAGCCGATTACCGGCTCTCCTCTCCTCTCGAGCTGTCACGCTGAGAAATGCCGATAACCGGCATTCCGTGTTTTCACGTGATCAGCTGTGATTGGACACAGCTGATCACATGACCGAGCCGACATCTTCGGCTCTTTCCGTGATCCGCTGTGTCCGAGGGACACAGCGCACCGGCGATCGCCGCGCTGCGCGCTCCCTGAGCCGCGCATGCACAGTGAGAATGGTAGGACGTCATATGACGTCCTATCAGAACGAGAGAACCACCTTGCGCCCGTCATTGTACTATAGGGCGGGCGGAAGGTGGTTAAACATGCATAGCAATGTATATGAACTAAAAATCCCTCAACTAAAAAGAATGCATAGCAGTGTACAGATGGTTCATTCAGAATTTGTAGTGTTAACATGTGGTCACACCCCTTTAGCACCTAATGGGATATACACTATATTGCCAAAAGTATTGGGACGCCTGCCTATACACACACATGAACTTTAATGGCATCCCAGTCTTAGTCCGTAGGGTTCAATATTGAGTTGGCCCATCCTTTGCAGATATAACGCTTCTGGGAAGGCTGTCTACAAGGTTTAGGAATTCGTCTATGGGAATGTTTGACCATTCTTCCAGAAGCGCATATGTGAGGTCAGGCACGGATGTCGGAAGAGAAGGCCTGGCTCACAGTCTCCGCTCTAATTCATCCCAAAGGTGTTCTATCAAGCTGAGGTCAGGACTCTGTGCAGGCCAGTCAAATTCCTCCACCCCAAACTCACTCATCCATGTCTTTAAGGGGCCATCCCCAAAACTGTCCCCCACAAAGTTGGGAGCATGAAATTGTCCAAAATGTCTTGGTATGCTGATGCCTAAAGAGTTCCCTTCACTGGAACTAAAGTGCAAAGGCCAACCCCCCTGAAAAACAACCCCACACCATAATCCCCCCTCCACCAAACTTTACACTTGGCACAATGTAGTCAGGCAAGTACCATTCTCCTGGCAACCGCCAAACCCATACAAATCCATTGGATTCCCAGACAGAAATGCATGATAAGTCACTCCAGAGAACACGTCTATACACTGCTCTAAAGTCCAGTGGTGGCATGCTTTACACCACTGCATCTGACGCTTTGCATTGCACTTGGTGTTGTAAGGCTTGGATGCAGCTGCTCAGACATGCATGAAGCTCTCTGTGCACTGTTGTTGTGCTAATATGAAGGCCACACAAAGTTTGCATGTGCTGACTCCGCTCTGTCAT